AGAATTTTTCAATGCGAACCCGTAGTTTCTGAGAATAGCGCGTTCAAACAGACAAACAAACGAACTCTTCAGCTTATATATTAGTATAGATAAGCCATTCAGCTTCGAATACGGATTAAAATAGAGGCCAATCCTGTGTACTGCCAAACACGTGTACTTATCTATTACGTCCTACACGTTTTGATCGTGACCTAATTATGTTTAAAACTCTACTATAAACAAAATCGCGGCGAACAATGAAAATGATGACAGTAATAGTTTAGTGATGACGCTAATAGTTATTACATATTTTTATGCTACACTGGTGCCGAAAATTGTTATTTATATCAACGCGTCATATAAATATTATTTTTGTAACCCGTAATATATTTAGCATAAAAAAAGAATATAACAATATTAACTGTTTAAAACGAAAAATATATTAGTTTAGTTCTTTTCAATTCAATTGAGCTATCGTGGTTAGAGAAGCAAAACGGAAGGTTTTGGATGCCTGTTTAAAGCCCGCCCGTGTCATGTTTGTTTGTAATCTAAATACTTTGTTATTTATATTATTTAATTTCACCAAATCGACTTTTTGGAATCTAGCAGCCGTGATCATGAGTTGAAAAGAACTTATATATTTTGCGTTTGAAACCGTTAAAATTGTAACGTAACGTAAATTGTAAAATTTGCTCTACCCTATTATACAATGAAATATGTATATCTATACATTTTTATTTTTAATATGTGGAGGTTAAAAAATTTAACATTTTATCAGTTGTGACATTGTATCAATACAAGCCAGCTACATCGAACCTTAAAAATAACCGATACTCATAAATTAAATGTCGTTACCTATTTTAGTTCAGTGTTCGGAAACGATAAACTCTAAAATTAACTAGAATTGTTTAGGTAACGCATTAAGGGTACGTGTTGCAGCACTATACTGGAAACACTCACTTCTAAACTTTGATGATGTAAACAAGTTTTGCGCTTTTAAATGTATCAATAAACAGATCATTTATAAGGAATGACAAATAACATGTATCTGATAATAATAATACTTGAGGTGTACAGGCAAATAAAATATATATTTTGCCAAATTCCACCAGGATTCGAACCCAGGCCTTCTCGTGCTTACTCAGCAACAACCAGCTATTTAAGACCGTATATATATCGATTGAAATATAAATAAATATATCTGAGAATTGATCTTAGATTAAAACTAAGTAGAACAATTCAAAACTAAAGAACCAAAGACGGACAATAGTTTTTTACGCGCCAAAGATTTTCTTTTCACTGAAACAGACTTCTATGGCAAGCCAGTTCGAAATTTTAATTAAACCTTTGATAAAAATTACCTCTTTAGTCGCCATGTTGCGGAGTAGAAGGTTGTTCCATTTTTAAATTAAACCACGACTATGAATCTACTTAGTAATTTATTTCGTAGCTAAACACGACAGATATGGATTTTCATACAACTATTACGGGCCGCTGCTCGACGTTGCAAGTCCAATTTCTATCTACAATCTCTAAGACGGTTGTCAAAAAAGTTCTCGCATTTCTAAGCACATTTTAGAAAAAAAAACGTTTAACCCCTCTACAGAATAGATCACATGACACTTCATATAAAAGTTTGACAACATAACTTTTTACAAGACGAATAATTTCTTAAAAAAAACGATATTCATTGAAATATTGATTACTTCGATATAGATTATGTGGCATGTGAAAGTAGCCTTACTTTATAAACGGCTATCAACAAGCTATTATAGGGAGCAAGTTAGGCTTCGTTACGCTAAGCTGCTGGATTCTGATATTTACTTACCTATCGATTGCTTGTCACTAATCTATAATATTTGGTATTCTAAATAATTGCTAATCTCCGGATCACCTACGATTTTGTCGTAGGAGAGATTTGAAAATACATGAATTGCCTGTCAAACGTGCTTCCCGTATAAAACAGTTATTTTTATTGAGAATAATTAGCAGTGCGTTGTCAAGTGACGCTTTAAGCTTCATCGTCTTTAAACTGCTCTTGACCGATTTAATAAAAGGGCCTGTTTTGACTGCAATTGATATAATGATGTCGGGTCTCAAATTTAATATTTGTAGTAGTCATCAATTTGTTCACGATTGGCTTAATAAGTGTGTCGCAATCAACGCACGCCTTTTGTAGGTTTATGACCCTGCAAATGAACGATGAATAATTCTTAACTGTGTTTATTGGGCATAAATTTATTTACCTACTCACGAATTTGAGCCAAACCATTCTATTGAGTAACTGTGGTAATCATTCCTTAGTTTCGTTCGACTAAGAATAATTAAATATTGAACTTCTATAACATACAAGAGAAACAAGAAATAATCTTCAACTATATGATAGCTTATAGTGTAGTAGTACAATAAAAGATCAAGAATTACACACATTTTCAAATACCGTCTGTCGTTTACGCGAGTAGTACACCTTTAAATAAAAAACTTTAACGGCTTAGAACGCGATATATCGCGCGACCACGGCTGCTGTAAAGCATCCGAAACTACGGGCCGTAGTTGAAATAATTTTCAAATAAGTTTATAATAATATATCGCGTTATAAGCCGTTAAAGTGTTTCATTTAAATACACGTCGTTGTTATGTAGTTACAAAATTATTGTCTTGGAAACGTTTCATAGTATCCTGACAAACAAAGTGTTCAAAGCTCATTATCTTTCGAGTCGCGTACTCCACACTCGTCTGCGGATCATGTTGGACTCAATAAAAATTGCTGGGGATTTCTCGATGAAGTGAGCTCCCTTCCCCCTAATTGCGGCTCCCAAGTCGATTTATTTCCGAATCTGGCTAAGACGACGTTTAAATTTACGAAAAATTATTTATTTAATGTAAACGTCTTCTCTACATTTTGTTGTATTGTGTTACTTGTTCTTCCCATTTGAAACGCTGTATAATCTTTATTCAGGGATAAAGATTAGGAGAAAAGCTAGAACCTATGGTGGTAAACGCAAATTAAGACGATTAAATTTAATCGTATTTTCTAGAGTTACAGTAACTTATGTATACGTGAATAGCATGGTATTGTCCAACCGGTCGAGAAAAAAACAAACTTCTCTGAGATTCGAACGCTATCAATATAATTCTAAGATCCAATGCATTACATACAACATGTTTTACGTCTGACACAAATACATTATCACCTTACGTTTTAATTCTAGATTTCAGTAAACATTAAAAAAGTAATTTTAATTTTCCACCATACTTGTTAGAATTTCTATATACCTAAAACTAGGCGTATTTAATAAAACAAATTGATTTGCTTATCAAAGATTATTAATATATTGACCTGAGTTCTATATCTACCTCATGTATATTTCTCTGCATAATAAATGGGCGGTAGAAATATATACAATCCGTCCAGGTCGGGAAGCGTAGTCCACAAAAACCGGGACATTTCAGTCTGTGGACTTCCGAATATCCAAGGCTACCACAATACATCATGTTTAGATGTTAGATGGCTGGTATTTAACCCCAAGTCTATCTGACCTTCTCTATCATAAAAAAGTAGCTCTAAAATAGTTAGGGTGAATTCAAAGTAGACTGGATTTAGTAAGTGCTAGTGATCGTATGTACTATTCCAATAGCGCCTAACCTGGATTTTGGAATTGTTGTGCTATTAATATTAAATTTGACGCACTTTGGATTTTGCACAGATTGGAACGTTATTTGTATGGACGCGGAATGGACCCTAAGGTAGATTAAGATCTCATACAATTGTGATTTGGTGACCGCAAATATTTCGCCAGCCAGCGGGCTGTCAAATCCAAATCGTTACTAGGGCGGGGCGAGAGCGCGTCGACCAATCCAAACACCGACTTGTGCTTACCTATTCTTGGAGACATCCCAAAACATCTATCCAATATTATATTATTTACCGGCCTATGTAATGACCATTTCAAAATATTTCTATTTCGCTATCACTCTTTTATAAACACTAACCATCAACTACAATGTCTTGTCTATTCAATGCGGTAACTTGTATGGGCGTTAATATTATCTTCGGCTGAAATTCAAATTGCGTTTATTTAGATGTACCTACAATGTAAAGAAATTGACTTCTTTATATTTAAAACTAGCTGTGCCCGCGACTTCGTTCACGTAGAATAGTGACTTGGGGTAGAATTTTTAATTATCTAAGCTGTTTATAAATTTATGTAAGGGCGCATTTAGGGCAGCCAATCTATGTTGTAAGTGCTACTTTGCCGCAATACTCTCACCCCACATCACTCCTAACTCCTACTCTCAAAAAGCCAAAGAAGAAAGTTCAAACACAATTTCCATACAAACTCTCACTCCCCCTTCTAACCCCTTACAACCCCCTTTCCGCAATAAAAGCCTATGTTCTTTCTCAGGGTCTAGACCCATATGTGTACCAAATTTCATTCAAATCCGTTCAGTAGTTTTCTGAAAGAGTAACAGACAGACAGACGGAGTTACTTTCGCATTTATAATATTAAGTAAGGGTGATCACTTTATTCCTACTAACCATCTTAAATTAATGACGTAGAGCGTATGAGAAAAAAAAGCAACAACCTCCTTTTATCGCCAATGTATCTAAAAAAACTTAAATTTATAATTGGTCATCTTGGTCTTAAATCAAAGAGAAATTCTTGTTTCTGTTGCGGTATTTTACTCACCGTAAAGTCAAGTTGTCTACGTACTCCTCTATAGTAAAAAAAATATGTACTATACCACTTTTTAACTTAAAACACTGCTACTTTTTTTACTATATTTTGCTACTTTAATTACTATATCTTTTATATTTAACATAGGAACAAAATATATATAGAATTACATACTTCTTTAAGTAAAGCTAATAAAGGTCATTATACGTTAACAAACCTCGGTTTTGGTTTTTGGCACGAAATACGAACATTTAGTGCCAAAACCGAGGGATTTACTTGAGATGTTTGAATGCTAGGTATAATTACTATATATAATAAATATATAAATCTCTATTTTTTCAGGTTTCAAGCGCAGAGGACATATATTGGGAAGGAGAAGACGATGTTTCAAATGAATACTTGGAGGTGGATGATGTAGACGCGGGTATTGGCAAGCACTTACGGCGACTTAAACGAGACTTTTGGTGTAAGTAGCTACATTTGGCACACGTTTAAAAAATATAAATCCATTTTAACGGTTTTAAATGCGAAATATATTACTTGGTCTGTATTAAAAGCGATCACAAAAAATTGAACATCATTATTAAAATATTAAGATCCAAAAGATACAAGAATTAAAGTCGACGTACCGTTTAAGTTTTGTACGTAATGTGATCAAATTTAGACATTTCCAAATCAATATTTATATTTCTTGGCTTCTTCAGTCTCCAAAGTAATTGTCATTCATATATTTCAGCCTTCTTCACATCCAGTACGCCAGCTCCAGAAAATTATGAAAGCGTTACAGGAGATGACGAAGATATTGGGTAATTATAATTTAAATGTTTGTTGATACTTATTACAACCTGATTACTCATAAATGTTTGCTAAAACATACGCATCAGGTCCTATATTATACATAAAACTATATTTAATTTGAAAGTATTATCTAAATTTTTAGTCTCAACCTATTCAAATCCCACTGCTGGGCATTGGCCCTCATTCTCAAGATCCCTCTGCTTCAGTTTTAACAACTACTGACACTACTCCAGTACTCGAACTCTAGACGTCTAGTTTACTTAGGATTAGACCAACTAGTCTCTTAAATAAATCACATAGTAAAATTACTCTACTTTCAAATATCCCTTTTAGTTACCAATTTGAAGGCTCGTCCAGCTTTAAAAATATCTCGAATTGTATAAAAAAACAACAACGACTGCCCCAAACGATCCTAGGAATATCAAATCTAAATCTAGATCAGGCACATTTAATGCCTTGATAAGATTTGCTTCAACATGAGAGGACGTTACATGATTCTAACCACTATGCTTAACATTGTCAGCTCTACGTTAATGAATGCACTCTTTCAACGCTATTTTTCATATATATTCATACACATAGTTCTATCCTTTGCTGATTTAATTACCAAGCTAAATTTGTCTGTTGCACCTAGGGTTGTCAGTTCTTGGGCGAAGTATAGTATATACATTTTTAATAATCTATAAAGTATGTTTCTAAAACAAAAAGAGTATTATATTGAAATTCATTCAATAATATACAAAAAAAAATATTTAAAAGGTAATTAATTTGTTAATTAATAACGAAGGAATGCATAATAGTATGTAAAATGCAGACAGTACGATTGACAGCCCTAGCTGTACCAATTTTGTTTTGTGCGTTTGACGTCATGTTATTTTAACGTAACGTAAATACTTGCTTTTGGAAGTGATTTATAATAATATTTCAATAACATTATATTTCAAGCTTAGTCTACAATGTTTCGTTTCTCAACCGTGTAAATTTATTACCCTAATGAATTTAAATATAAACAGCATTGCAATTGCAAATTGGCCGGACACCTAACGAAACAGTGTACGTTGTCCTGGGATTCGAACCGGGATAAATGCGATGCTAAGCAACGCGTACGTAATAGAGCTACGAAGGCGATTTTGAAGAAAAATATAGATTAGCTTATATTTTTTTGGCTGTATAGCGTAATAATTTTAAAGTGTCTGTAGAACACAAAAATGCAAGATGATAGAATTATGATAAGACTGAATTCTTGTAAGCTTAACTTTATGCACAAAATAAATCGTTACTCACACCACGAAGCTGCGTTGTAAGTTTGTACTTAGTTTAAATATTCTAAATTTCGAATAGTTAAAATCTGCCACATTAATTTATCAGTCCTATGTCTAATGTATATTTGTTCTAATTTCAGAGACAAATACGAAGAAGTAGAAAATGAAGTTGACGGTGGTTCTGGTGTTCCGGACAGGCTTGAACCAGAACAGAAAGAGAGTAAGTGTACAGAACAATACAGAATTAATGGAAAATAGTTTATTGTAATGAAATGACATTACTTCTGTAGATCTATTAAAAATAAGGACTTAGGAGGAAGCCACGTAGTATGCACTTAGAGGATATATAGCGTAAAGTTATATATCCTCTAAGTGCTATAACTGTCATAATAACTTATTCTTTTTTTTTTGATTGACTTTTACGTATTGAGCACTGACGGGGCCTCGAATACTGCCGTGTTTGCCGCTAGACTAAGGGTGCCCCGAGGGCATAGGCCTCGGCTTGGACCGCCGAAATGTAATTTATTCATAGAACAACTACTACATATAAAAAATATAAGTGCTTTCCAAAAAAAAAGAGATAATATACTTTTAACAGATCTATTGTACTATGGCTCATTTTTAATTGCAGAAACTCTTCGTGTAACATTTGTTGTGAGAGAGCCATACCAAATGAATTACTCAAACAGAGATTCGCTAGCATTCCAAAACTTCTCGAAGTCTTTGGCGGATGCTGTAAACGCATTGTTCAGAGATCTTCCTGGAACACATAGAGCTAGTTT